AGAAAATGTGTTAAATTACAAAAAAAATGAAAAAAATAAATATTAATGTAAATGAACTAGTATCTGATGAAGAGTCAACAGATAATGAAGAAAAAAAGGCCGAAAATCAACTTAAACAAAAMCCGTTAATTRTTACCCCAGTTACAAAACGCTCTGTAAATGAAACAAAAACTGTAAGGCAAACCACCAAAAAAATAGCTGTTGTTCCATGGTCTGAGGCAGAAAAGTCAGCTGCAACCAAGTACTTTAAAAAACACATACTTTTGGGTAAAGTACCAAAAAAACATGAGTGTGAGGAATTTTTAAAACTGAACTCACAGCTTAACAAACCGTGGAAAAAAATTAAGTATTTTATTCACAACGCAATTAATTCTAAAAAAAAATAAACAGGTACTTTATTTTTATTGATTTTTACTAAAATATACAAAATAAATTTGAATATACCTMTACTTTTATTCATATTTTCTATTTGTTAATTCCTTTTACGTATAATAAATCAATTTATATATAATGTGGATCTCACATGGTATACCTACTATACCTACTGTAGTTACTTTGTTTGTGTGAGATTGTTGTTAAGATAAATTTAAACGGATCTCGTAACGAATGTTGAAAAATAAATCAATCGATAAAATTTGGATCTCGCAGAGTACTTTAGCTACTATGTGTGTCTGCAGCTTTTAGTATGATAGATAATTATATTTAAATAGACTCGTAACGTGTTTCTTTAGGTATATTTGGTATTTTGGTACACATTGATTTTTAAACTAAATTAATTTATATAATGTGGATCTCACAGAGTACTTTAGTTACCTAGTGTGTGTGAGATTGTTAAAATTAAATATTTAAACGGATCTCGTAACGTTCTTATTTAAATTCAGTGTACTTAAAAATAAATGAATTGATGTAATGCTGAATAAAATCCAAAAATCTCTAGTTTGTGCTAAATTAGAATTATGCCATTCGAAAGTTTGAATCTATTTTTTTTTATCCTTTTTATTTATTAGGTAGGTACCTAATATTGTATATATAAAAATAAAAGGGTTTGCGGGGTGGGGGGAAGCTTCCCACGTTTTATACTATCAATGATTTAGACGTGTACCCATAGATTTTTCAGGACACAAATGGACAGTGAATACACTGTACATATGTCCTATCTAAATGCAGTGGTAAATATAATTACATTGATACACGTGACACGCGTAGTGTACGTATGTAGCTAATTGATTTATAAATTTATTAATATTGATGACGGCGATATTTTGGCAACATCGCATGGATCTAATARGAACCGTTATTTAAAAATTTTAAACACACCCGGATCTCTTAAAGTTAGGATTTTACATTTTAGATCTCGTAAGGTACTAAGCTAACTATTTTACACTAAGGACCTCACAAAGATAGGTTACAGTTAAAAATAAATTTAAGTGTTTATACATTTTTATTCCACTTTACTAATA